TACATGGGGGGAATTACCAGCCGGGCAGACGAGGTGCTGAGGGACAGGGTTTGGGGGTGGGATGGCAGGGGTAGGGGAGCGGTTGGACTCGATGATCTTAAAGGGCTTTTCCAACCTAGACGGTCCTATGATTCTATAAAGACGCCTATCCAGAAAATGGATCCATGGTTGGAAACAGTCCATCTATAAAAGAGAAAATCAATTCTGAGTGCCTGCTGCTTAGCGGGTACCTTAGAATGAAAATATTCCATTTAATTCATCATTTCTCAGGGGAAGTGGGGAAAAGCAGTTGACGCTGGGTTCTGTTTCATCCTCTGTCCCTCTGCTGTGGTTGTTCGCTAGGAGTGCTCCTGCTCAACGCCGTCCTCACGGTGCGAGCGCACCAGGCCACCTCCCACAAGGAGAGAGGCTGGGAGCAGTTCACGGATGTGGTGGTGTCATGGCTCAACAAGAACTTGCACGGGGTTGTCTTCATGCTGTGGGGAGCCTACGCCCAGAGGAAAGGCAGCTCCATTGACAGGGTACAGCTTGTTCCTCTCTTCCCTCTCGCTCATTTTCTGTTTTTTTTCAGTTGGATGGACACTAGAGGGCACTTCCCTTACAGGCTTGGGGTTTTCTCCCTGCTTGAACTCTGCTGTCAAATTTAGTTGCCCTTCTGTTTCAGCTTAGCCTTTGCCAGAATTAAGCAACAGAATTGGAGCAAGCGTAACCTTGTCAGAAAAGCATCCAGTTGAGGACAGAACTGTTTTGGTTTTTTTCCTAGGAAAAGGCTCATAAATAAGCATAAATCTTGTGTTTACACACTACAGCAATTGAAAAATGGCCAGGGTATCGCTGCTGCTTTCCGTAGTCCATCCTCCTCTGCTCGGTGGGACAAAAGCCTCGGTCCTCGCGGCCAGTTCTTTGGGTCCCTGATGGTGGTTGGGGAGGTGGGGAGAGGAAATCACAGCTGCTTGGCTGGGGCAGAAGCAGCCAGCCTTGTCCAGGGCACCAAAAGCATGCAAATCTAACGAGCGGTTTCCTCTTAACGTTTTACAGAAACGTCACCACGTCCTGCAGACGGTTCATCCCTCGCCTCTCTCTGTCAACAGAGGGTTTTTCGGCTGTCGGCATTTCTCGAAGACCAATGAGTTGCTCAAGAAATCCGGCAAGAAGCCTATTGACTGGAGAGCGCTCTGAGCTGCGCGCAGGGGCTGCGGCGTCTGGTGGCTGGAAACGGCCCCTCCTCCAGGGGTCGTCTCATTTCTGAAAAAAACTCTTGCTGACCTGAGAATTCCTCTTTGGGTGTTGATCAAGGAACAAATGACCAAACTTTCAGAGATGTTGTTATATTTTGGTTTAAATGCTTTTTAAAGAGCAAGATGGGAGTGTGACGTGGACACCTTCTCTGCTGTCTGAACAGGTCTCAGCCTAGTTTGAAGCAAAGAGACACAAAAAAAGTTCTCTGTTAATTTGTGTTCGTCGTTGTAATGGGAATGTGTTTTCAGGCTCTTGTGAAGGGATGTCAGTTCTTACAGGTGAAGCTGTTCAGCTTTTGTAAATACCCTGCTGCACCTCCTCCCACTCCTTTGCCCCCTGCTGTGCAAATCTGGATTTCCTGATTCCCCAGGAGAAAAGGCAGATGCTTTCGGTTCTGGCTTTTTGCTGCAGATGACGAGATTTATTAGAAATACGGCCTCTTGGCTCTGTAAAGACCGTACACTGTCAGCGGTGTTACTTGGTGTTGCCCTACTCTCAAGATTTCAGGGTAAATCCCACCAGCAGCCGAGCGGAGACTGCGACCGAGGCTCTGGTCACGCTCCCAGCTTTTTGTTGGCATTTAGAGAGGAAAACAGTAAGTTTGCAGATTCTTACTGGGTGTGTTAATCGCTCGGATGACAGGGGAGCTGTGATGACCACAAACTGTGGTACCTGCCGATGGCAACAGCGAAGGTTTGTTCATCAGGGCCTGCCACCTGATGGGCTGATGGTTGCAAATTCTTTAAGATCTTTTAAGATCTTATTTAAGATCTTTTAAGATCTTATTTAAGATCTTTTAAGATCTTAAGATGGAGGGGGTTTGTGCTTCAGCTTCAGAGGAGCAAATCGAGGTTTCTAGCCACTGTTGAAAATAACCGTTGGGACTTCCAGGATTAAGTCAAGGTTGGACTTTGCGCCTGGGTTTCCAGCCCATCTTTGACTTTGTAATTCCTTCAACGGAAGTGAAGTGCCTTGTTTGGGAATTACGTCAGTTTTTATAGAATACCCCTCTGTACCTTTCTTGTGGTGTTTGCTCTGACAGGTAACACTAGTACAAGTGACGTTTATACTTTCTATGGCTGTGTTGTTTATTTTTCTCCAGTTTGGTTGGTTTTTTTTTTAAATAAAAATGATTTTGTTTATGTTGTAGCATGATCTTGCAGTGGCAGGGATGGGGCAGGGCGGGAGGGAAGGGCACCTGAGGTGAGGCCTGGGGGCTGCCCTGGTGCTGGTCCCTGCCCTCCCCGGGGGAGGCAAAGCCGCGGGGCCTGGGGCTTCTCCTTCTCCTTGTCCCCGTGACCAGGCGTGGGGCCAGGGCACCTCTGTCCCCCAAGGATCGGGTGTCCCTGGCCGGCCGTGCCAAGGCCGCCCCCCCCCTTCCCCCCGCAGCTTT